CGGCCCAGATTAAATCAAGATAGACGGCTGTGATTAAAAGGCAAAGGGTATAAATAAAACCCCCACACCTGACCACAAAAACCCTAGCTGCCTGCCCTCGCCGGAGAAGACGAACCAGACGTCGGAGGAGCCGGCCGCCGCCACCTGCCGCCGCACCGGGGAGTTTTTTGACCGCCGATCGAGATAAATTTCATACCCCCAGCTCGTTTTTCAATGCTGAGTTCTCCGGTGGCCAAATTAGAGCTAAACTCCCGGCCAAACGGCCGTAAAACACGGCCAAAACCCAGCGGCGCCGCCGCGCCCCTCCTCAGTTTTTTCCTCCGATGAGGCCCTTCCCGGCCTCCGTTTGATACAATTTTTATATCACCATGATCACTATTCTTTTCTCTACAGGTTGATCGGAGCCAAATCACCAAAACACGAATCTCGCCAGAGAGCCGCCGCACCCGAGAGCATCCCCGCCGGTAAGCTTCGATTTTCATAATTTTTTGGCCCCCCGAGGGCCCTAGGGTTGTTTTATCGCAGGGATCGATGCAAGTGTGGCCGAAAATGGCCAACCCGAGGTGAATTGCCGCTGCAAGCGGCGGAGCCGCCGTGCCGGAATTGCGATATTGGCCGAAAGGGGCCCAGGGTCTAATTTGGGATTTTTTGGGACACGTGTAGGTACTAGTAGTGCGTTTCAGTTCCCCGGAAAAAATTCATGAAAAATTAGGGACAACCTGTAGGCGCACTGTAGAGCCGTATTCAGACCCCGAAGTAACTAAGGACCCCTCACCCTATTTCCTATCACGGTATTAAAGTTCAATAAATGATAAAACGGTATTTCATGAATCAATAGATGTGTGAAATTGTTTAAGGTCGCTAATGGAGCCTGAGTCTGGTGTGTTTGTCGGTCAGCTGTTGTTTGGCATATTTTACAGTTTTTAAATGCAGTATGAGGTCTGATGTTTTCATTTCATAGTTTCGTGTGCATATATCACTGTTTTATTGATTATGGGTTGAATGACTGAGAACCCGATGTTGTATGTTGTCTTGTTTGGCATAAATTACTGGTTTGCTTGTTTGTGTGTGATTTGATGATGCTGACTGAGGAAAAAGGGGAATGAAAGGTTAAGTAAATTGATAATTGTATAATGTGGTCAGCCTGACTAGATATCCTGGGAGATGGTGGACGGACCGGGTCCGTAGGGAACCCTACCGAAATTGTGGTCTCTCATACCGGACGGGGTATGGAGAACTTATGTGTTTTGGCGCCCATACAGGATAGGGTGTGGGGACGGCCCGTTTCACCCTCATACCAGACGGGGTATTGAGGTTTATAGTTTTGGCGCCCATACCGGACGGGGTATGGGGACGGCCTTGGAATCTGATTACAAGTGTTAAGGGTTCACGGGTAGCGGGACCCCTATGGATCCCCATGGATACTAGTAGGCTGGTAAATGAGGAAAAATATGTTGTGTAATGATTGAAATGCAAAAGGCGTGATAAGTATTATGTTATACAGTTCACATGATTTCATGATGATGATAATGTTATTGCTTTCGTATGTTATTTTATGAACTTCACCGAGGTAAGTGGATAGTAAAGGATTTTATTATTGATAAAAGAATTTGTTGTAAATTATGCTCCATTGGTCTCTTTGTGTTTTTTACCCACCTTTACCTCTGTGACGGTGAGATAGTGTGATGTCTTTATTGGGCTGGTGTAGCTCATTCCTTATTTAATAATTTCAGATCAGGAAAACATTGTTCCCGAGCCCGTTCCGCAGGAAGACGGCGAAGGGGATGCCTAAAGACTCCGTAATTATATTTATAGCTTTTACTTTCGAGTTTCTCTTTTAGTTAGTTTGTTCTTTTATACTTTGAGCACGTTTTTGGTTTTAGTGTAAGGGATGTTAATCAAAATTTTTATTACGCTTCCGCATTTGACCTTTTTAATACACATATTTAATTTTAAAATTCCAGAGCCGTTACATTATGGGTCTTGAAAATGATATCAAAGATTTGACGGACAGAAATCGTGATACTCTGGTCTTAATTATTGATCTTCATATAAGAGTTTAAATCACACACTATCAATAACTTAAAATAAGATTTGAAGATCAGTGGTTTGTTTTTAAAAGGTTATTAAAAAAATTATGCTTGAGTTAAGGCATTTAGAAAAATTAAAGAAGATTGGGAAATGGGTTCAGAGAAATTTATTTCATGTGTATAGTAGATAGAAAAAGTTATGGCTTACTTCCCAAACAAAACCTAAAAAGTTTATACTTATGGCATTCAAAACTTTGATGTCACTTGTTCTAGCAAGCCATTAAAAAAGCAAAAAGTTGGTTCTACTTAGCATTAAAAATGAAACATATTTGTTATGTTTTAGCCATTAAGTGATATTATTTAGATAGTCAATTTAGGAGAGTTTCAAATTTTTGATAATATGATTGTCAAGGTAACAAATGTAGATTGCTTATAAACCAAATTATAAATCAAGATAATACATGTAATTTTAGTTTGTCAAGAAAAAAAAAAGATAATTAATATCTTATGAATCAATAGAATATCAGAAATAAAAGATAAATTGATTTAAACATAACAAGTTGAAACTACCAACATTCATATTCCTACCTCTGTCCCTTTAAAAAATAGGAAAGATATTTGTTGTTCGATTGTATTTTTCAAATATTGATTACATTAATTAGCTAAAGTAACAATAAGGTGAAATATTGATAACAGTTGAACAAAACCCATTTTAGGGATTAGAATAAACACTTAAAGAGGCAAGGGATGTCTCAATGTAAATTTCTTATTTCTTCCTAAAAGCTTTTGTTGACAACGAAGGATGTATGTATATGTCTAATATATATATATATATATTAACAAAAGGAATTAATCAAGTAATATAATGGTGGGTTGGGGGACACATCAATGAATTTCCTGTTTTGAAGTCAATGAAAATTTTAAATATAAACATTTTGGTTGACTTCTTTGTGTGGAATTATTTGATGTGTTCTTGGGTTGACAAGCTCAAAAAACTCCAAATATTAAATAAATAAAATAAAATAAACAGGATAGGTCATTAAGAATTGGTTGGTCTTTGTAATGACATATAGATATATAGATATATATATATATATATATATATATATATAATAGATGAGAAAAGAAAGAAAGGAGTGACACCATGATCAATATTATCAAACTAAAATAGATAATATAAAAATATATTTCATTTTAAATTAGATTAATTTTTATTGATTAAGCTAAATAATTAGTTTATCAAATTTTTTGGATTTTAAATTAAGAATACTACCAAAGCACGATCATTAAAATATGAAGTATGTTTAATTGTCAACTAAATTAATTATCTCTTTAAGTGAATTCCTTTTAAAATTGAGATAAATTTATTTAAAAAATTTATTGTGAGTACGTTTTCATTTATAAATTTATTCTCTTTGATTTGATATAAATATATGAAATTTTTACATAAATATTAAAATATTATTTTTATAAAATAATTAAAAATTATTATTAATTAATTGAGTTTAAGTCAACTTTAAATTAATATAAAAAGAAATGTAAAAATTAGGTAATTAGAGATCATATTAAAGAGAATTTATTTTTACGAACTTTTCATATATATATATATATCTATATATAAATGAAATCAATATAATTTTAGTACATAGATATATATAAACAAAAGGCACATTAGATGTTGGAGGTTTGTAGTGCAGCGTCAGAAATATCTATCGAGATCTGAAATATGCTTTTTTGCTTGCCTCATTTTAACCAAACCATTTGAAATAAATAAATTTTGTGCACCTGTCTAGCCGTGTTTCACTCCATCACTTTATTCTATACACACCTATACATATATATAGATATATATATATACAATTTCTATTTTTGTGTTAATTTTCTGTTTAAATAGATTTTTGCTTTTAAAAATTATTTAAATAAGTTTTTAAACCATAACTTTCTTTTTTTTTCTTTAAATTATTTCATTTAATTATTTTTGTGTCCCAATAAGTCATGTACTTTTGAAAATTATTTGTATAAATTTTTTTATTATCAACTTTTGTTACAGCTATTTATGTGTATATATATATATGTATGTTATGTGACAGTTGATAGAACCACATGAATTAATATAAGTGAATATATTAATTCACATAACAACTATGATATCAATTTTCATCACATAATTATCATGTGATAATAATGTATCTAAAATTTATTTATTTTAATTAAAAAAGATTATAAATCAATTTGAAGAGAAAAAAGAGCCAAAATTCAGAAAACTAATAATTAAATATTGATTATATGCAAGTTCGTCTAATAATTTCTCAAAATTAGTCAGCCCACAGTCCAAGTTTGGAAAGTCAAGCCCAAAAAAATTCAAGTCCGACTCAAAATTAGTTTTTGTTCATCTACCCCCACCCAAAATTTACCATATATATGTATATATATTTATTATTTACGAAATTTTTTATAATGTATAATCGTAAGGTATTATTATTTTTTAATACTAAAAGTAATATATTTTTAACTGTAACTCTGTATGATTTTGCTGAGTTTGAATCATATTCAATGAATAATATATAAAATTAATATATAATATAATCATTTTATATAAATTAATCATGGTGGAATTAAATCAAAGAAAAACTATTGTATTAGTTGAATCACATTTATTTGTTTGAGTCAATCTAATAAAGTTGTTATTGAAATAAAATTGACCAAATAAATATTAATATTTTAGGATCAGAAAAAAAAAAAGTATAAATAAATAAATAAATAAATATATTGTGAGATGTACAAAAAAAAAAAAGAGAAAAGCTTGTAAATCAAGATGAATGAATATTCAGTTAGTTTCTGTTTTATACATAAAATAAAGAAGGAAAGAACCAGAAGTAGTAATAAGTGATAAAAGAAGGGACTCCTTTAAAAGGGAATGCTTAAAATGGGGCGTGAGTGCAATTTAGACTAAAACATGGGTATCTACATCCAAGCACCAATAAATCGATTCACCTAAGCCAGGTTCCATAAGTTGACGTTGCAATGCATCTGTTACAGAGGAACGGTATGGATGGAGACACGCAATGTTGATGGCGACGTTGCAATGCGTCTGTTATAGAGGAACAGTATAGATGGAGACACGATGCGAATGGAGCAAAAATCGTTTAGTGTTCTTCATACGTGGATGGCCCAGATTTAAGGAAACAGAACAACCATCAGGATTGAATTTGATAAGTTATATAACTAGGGACGAGGGAGATCGAGCTACAGGGAGAGGGAAGGGAGTAGAGAGCTAAGCGGATTTCAGTGAAGAGGGAGGAGTGAATCGCGGTCTTCACGGTCGAACCAAGAGCGAATAGCGAGGAATTTTTTTTGCTGGAATGCGTACATTGTACTCGAGAACAAACAGGTCAGATCAACCTGATCTTAAACCCAAGTTTTGAAATAGGTGGATTAATTTCCTGAGATATAACACTGTAAATCAATTTTTGGGAGTGTTCATGAGTAGGCAGTTTAGACTTAAATTGCTGTGTAAATTGCTTGATAAAGAAATCTTGATAATTTGAAATGACGGATAGATAGTTCCAAATGGAGGTTACTGAACTCTTTAAGAGATAGGGCGGGTGTTAGAGGTTCGAGTATATAGGTTCAATTGAAATGCTGAAATTATTAGTTCTGGGTGATTTGTAATAGATGAAGTTTAGAAAGAAAATATAGAGGCCATGAACTGAAATAGGAGAAAAAGAGAACGGTGGTGAACTTGGACAAACTATTGGAAGGAATTATTGAGGAAAGAACATAAACGAAAAAAAATCCCAAATTTTAGGAGAGTCAAACAAACTGTGTCTATACCTTAAATTAGTAATGTGTGTGTAAAAGAAACGTGGAAACAAACTGTGAGTAAGGATAACCGTAGAATAAGACGAAGAGAACAATATCTTAACGAACAAACCAGTTACAGGCTCAATGAAGGAGTTTGAAAAAGTAACAGAGAAGGGAAAGAAAAAGAAAGGAAAAGAGAAACAAACAAATAAAAAACAAAATAACATAATGGGCAGTGAATTACCACTAAGTACAACAAGTGGAGAAAATCTGAATCAACAATAGAGATATAGTAGAATGTAGTTGAATGAGAGAATATTAGGACTCAAAACTAAGAAGGGGAAACCATTTGGGAAGCTGAGGGAATATTAGTTCTGTCTTTTCGGTATAGGTAACCAGTGCGTGAAAAGGGTGAAGTGGTTGACTGTTATTATTACCTTTCCTAATCTGAATTTAATTATGTTGCATGTTTGTGCATAATATGGTTGTATATGATATGACATCTTATCCTAATTTTAATTAGTACCAGATGAGTATGCATGTGCATAATAACCACGTGTGGACATTTTAGAAATTAATCTGTGTTGCTTTTGTATATGTATTAAATGCATAAATAATGACTGCATATGATGATTTTTTATTCCAGAATTATGAGATGTTGTGAATATGTGTGTGCGGTGCAGCCAGGTGTTATGGCTTCAATGAAGGGTTATGTGTATGTATATATAATTCGAAAATGCATTGAAATGGTACTATTGTGGAATGAGTACAGTCTGAAGGGGGAAATCATTGAAGGGAGTAAAGGAAATAAAAGAAAAGGGAGTGCAGCTTCCTGTGATGGATTAATGCAGGAAGAGGGAGAAACTGAAAAGAAAGAAACAGAGGGAGAGTGGACCTGCTGAGTCTGCTACAGTAAAATGAGTGCAGGAGGATAGAGAGGCTAAGAAGAAATAAGGATAGGATGACCTGATCAGTGTAGGAAGAAAGAGAGATTTAAAAGAGGGAAACAGAGAGAGTGGACCTGACAGGATTACATGAGCAGGGTGGGGGGGACAGGTTAGCATGGTGAGAGGGAGGATACAAACCTAACTGAATGGAGAATTGTTGTTATGATGTTCCAATGAGGGAAGGATACTTAAAAGAGGAAGAATTTTATGAAATGGAAAGAAAAGAGTTATCAGAACATGGGAATTATCGAGGTGCAGACAATTATTGAGGAAATTTTTTTGGAGGCGGGGGGGAAGAGGTTTATGCTTGAGTTTATTCTTACTGGGCTATATTGGCTCATCTGTTTATTTTTGTACAGAGGTAGTAAAACAGGAGCCCCTGCAAGAACTCCCAGAGCCAAGACATGACATGAATGGTGCGCAGACTTAGCAATATTCTCAATTTTGTAGATTTCAGTTCAGTTTTTGCTTTGTTGAGTAGAAATAGCTTAAAAGAGTAAATGTTAGTGGCTGGATTTAGTTGTTGAGATATGAGATACCTGTATTTATAAGTCAGATAAGGTCTATTAGTTTATGATGATTCGAACTGGATATATGTTTAGATTCACGTCTAATGACTGCAATGGTAAAATATCATATTTTATATCTATGCATATGTTGATTTGATACTGATAGATGGTATTTTAGACCCTACAGTTTGGAGAGATTACAGTCAAATTTTACATATCTATTGTATTGATCTTTATGGATGGTATTTTAGACATCATATTTTGGGGATATTATTGTTGGTATCAGAGCAGTTCCCTTGGCACTAATTTGCATAC